GTTTCTGAGGCAGTATCACTATGGAAGTAGATTGCCCAACCTTCCTTCTGAGGAGTGGCTGGTGGGTTTGAACTGCCAGCCTTCTGGTTAGCAGTCGAGTGCCTGTAGGCACTATGCTACCAGAGCTCCTTGATGCCAAGGCCAGGAAACCCTTCTTCATGTTTAAACGGAGGATGACCACCTAGCTCCCCTTGAGGTTTCAGCCAGCATGCACGCAGAGGGCACCTGAATCAGACTGAAGGCAGAGCTTGGGGCGACTGGGGAGCATAGAGGTGGGAGGGAGAGGGGACTACAGTCAGCAGCTGGGACAGGGAAGCACCTGAACACGAGGTTAAAGGGCTTGGTCCTTAGCCTGTAGGAGGTGGGACCACCTTTCCCCAACTTTCTCTATGGCCTCTGGAAAGGTGGGAAGAAGCATCTGGCACTAACACCCTAGCCATAGCTGGTTCCTTGGTTACATTTATTTAAGTCGGGGATTTGGAGACACCCGAGAAAAGGCATTTTATGTGGGAGTGCAACACATAAAGCCAGGCTGCTACATACTGAAGAGGCCCACATCCCCCTCTCTTGCTCCTAGGGTTCTAGGCACATGCCATTTTCAAGGGACAGCCAGGTAGGGAGGAGGGCCAGATGATGGAAAGATGCGGGGGCAGGGGGCTGGGTGACTTTAATGAGTACCTGGGTGCTCAGCTCATATTGCTCCTTCAGACATAAGCATCTCACAGAAGAATAGGTTCTGAGGCTCTGCCTTTGTAGGGGGCCCTGTAGCAGTGACTTTCCAGGTATCGCTTGAACTTGTTCTTTTCTGGAGCCCAAGTGCCCTCAACACCTTCTGTGGCTGGTAGACCCAACAGGCCCATGCCCACCTGTGACCAGACCTGATTTTCTAAACAGCTATCCACCTGACCAGCCCACGCCCACATCCTGCTTGTGAGGGTAGGGGACGAACTCTTCTCAGAGCCCTGACTGGAAAGAGGCTTTGGAGTCACCCAGGGTTCAAGCCCTTCCTTAACCTCTCTGTGCCTCACCGTTTGCCTCTGCACGCTGCCGGCAGTTCCGGCCTTGGTCTTACCTTCCTCAGGGACACAGAGATAGCAACCTTCTACCCAAGATTTTATTGAATGAACACACAAAATTCATTCCTGGGTTTGCAAAATCAATCCAGCAAGTGAAGAGACAACAGTGCTTGTGTGAATGTCGGGTGCTCACCACCAGACCCCCAGCTCAGCCAGGGAGACGTGGGGGGCACTCTGATTCTCTGGTGCCAGCCTCTCTCAGCCTCTGCCACACCAGGTGGGCTTCCAGGATGGGTAGGTGGAATGGCTCCCCATCGCAGCCAGAGAATACTCCCGAAATTTGGAGAGAAAATTTGCCCGAAGGGTCACGATTGACTAGGGAAGGGGCTGTGTGCCGGGCCAGCAGCTTTTCAAACCCCAAGTTAGAGCCAACCTCAGGGCCAGCCCTTCGGTCCTCACAGAGCCCCCCAGCCTTGTAGACACTGATGGCGTTCCCTAGGGGGAAGGGGCCTCCAGGGACCCCCTAAGTCCCACCAGACACCCCTGGGTAGACTATGTCTGACCATCCATAAACAGGAAATGAGAAATCAGGTCAAAATGTTCACAATTTCCTGCATGTCTCAGGGTTGTTTTCCTAAATGGTTGGGCTGTATTTTAACTTGGTTCATGGGAATTAGTCCATTTCAAGATTCATCAATTCACTAAGGTATAAAAGAAAAGAAAGATAAAAGAAACAGTAACAAAACATTTCAATCTAACTTTGGTGACATTGGCCTCAGGAATTTCTGTGTTGGCCAGAACTGTTAGGCGGTGGGGAGGGTGGCACGTGGCCCTCCTCCTGCCTCCAGGCCACCATGCACTCTCCCGGGGACCAGGAGACATGGCCCAGTGCTACTGCTCCTTTCTAACCCAGAGAGCCCCAGCAGCTGTGACTCCAGCATCAGTCAGTGACATCAGTTGTCCCATGTGACTCGAAGTTGAGGCCAGCTCTGACTGTAACTCGAGACCAAAATACGCAGGTGTCTGAGGGCCAGAGGGCTAGATAGGGGCTCCAGGATGCCTCCGAACACATTCAGATTTTTATGTTTTCACTTTTCTTCCTAAAAATCAGAGTTGCTGGTGCTTCCCAGCCCATGTGGGGCTGGTTGGGAGTGTGTGGTTATCATCAGGGACCCTAAGGATCCCTCTGCCCCCAAATCCCTACTGTGCCCAAAACAAGTGGAGCTTGGGGTGAAAGAATGGGTATGTGTATTGCTAAAGAGGGATTGAAAATACCCCACTATATAGATCACAAGGGGCTCAGGGTGTCCCTTACTTCACATCCCCAACCTGTCTGTATCTGGTGCAAGCAAGTGCTCACCAAGGGTAACACTGACATCTATGGCCATCGAGTGAAGCCTGCTGGACGGGGGCCATGGTTGAGACAGGAGAGAGGGGAGGAGAGGCCTTAAGGAGCCTCACTGTTCCTCATGGGAGGTTTCCAGAGGGAAGGTGGGTAGGACCTGGTCTGGGGCAATCATTGCCCCAGCTGACCTCTTTAATGCAAAACACAACCAGAGGTGCTGAGGAGGAGAGATGATGGGTGAATGGATGGCCAGAAGCTAAGTCGACTCCGAGACCCGATCTGGCGCCATCCTCCCGTGGCCAGACCTCAGAGATGGGCAGTGTGGAGGGGCAGGAGGGGAGGCAGACAGGGTCCCATCCCTGTCCACCAGCAGAACCTGGGCAGGAACAGGAGGCAGGGGAAGCAGAAGACCAGCTAACACGGGTACCATGGCAGGCCCAAGTCCGGGCTCACTCGAATGTCTCCCACTGCTTCCTGAGCTGCTCCACTGAGCCGGGGCCAGGGGCTGGGCTCACATCTTGCTTGGTTTTCCGTAACAAATCCTCAAAGGGGTCTCTGGCCTCCCGAGGAGCAGAGGGCTGCAGTGCCGGCTCCAGGCCCTGGGGGGGCCTGTGAGGAAGGAGTGGAGGGTCTCCAGGCCTCAGGGCCAGCCCCTGCTTGGCCTCGGCGGCCCTGGCACTTGAGCGGGCCAGAGGCAACGTTCGGATCCTTGAAGGGGTGACTGCTGGAGGGCCCAGTGGCTGCAAAGGGCTGGTGTGGGCACCTGCGGGCATCTGGCCAAAAAGATTGGGCATGGAGAGGGCAGACAGGTTGGGCTGGGATCTATGTGGCACACAGAAGCCAGAATTTGACAGCAGGAGACTGGGTGCAAAACCTGGCCCCAGGGAGGCAGGAGGGGCCCCGAAAGGCCCAGTGGGTGTAGAGAGCAGGGGCATAGTAGGCAGTGCAGTTGGCACAGATGGGACAAAGGGGTTGAGTGATGGCTGTGGGAATGGGGTGGGGGTCCCCATAGGGGGGAAGCTGAACTGTGGTGTGAATGGGGTGGCTACATTTGGGGCAGGAGGGACTGGTGGGAGGGTGCTGCCTGGCCAGGCTGTGTGAAGTGGGTCCAGGAGGGCAAGCAGGGCGTCACTGCCTGTACCAGTGCCCCCTGGAGCCAGGCTGAGAGGCTGAAGCAGTTCGGGGGTGCCATGGGAGGCAGTGCTGGGGAGGTGCCCTGGGAATGGGGCTGGGCTCGGGGTAGCTCGCCTTTCCCGTTCGGCCTGCAGCCACTCTGAAGACAAGTCACCAAGGGTGGTGCCAGCAGCCTGCAGCTTGGCTGGGCGGGCAGTGGGTGGCGGCGGCACGATGCCCAGCTCTGGGGTCTTCCTGCCCTGGGGCCGGGGGATGGTGATACTGCCTGGAGGGGGGGTGGGGGCCTCCTCCTTGTTGCTGGGGTTTGGGATGCTGTCCCGGTTCTGGGGCCTGTGGTGTAGTGCTGGGGAGCTCCCAAGCAGGGGTGAGGGCTTCTCAGGGGAGGCAGCAGGGAGCTTGCTGGGGAGGGCCATGTCATCCTGGCCCAGGCTCCAGAGCTTGTTGTACGGGTGGGTGAGCTTCAGGGCCACTGGCATCCCGCGGCTTCTCTCACTCCCGCCCAGGTCCAGCCTCTGTTTGGAGAGAGCGAGGGAGGCAGTGACCACAGGCTGACCCAGGATGGAAGGCCATTTCTATATCACTCCTGTATGCCTGGTGGGCCCCAGCACTGTAGCCCCAGGCAGGTGGGTAATCAGCTCCCCAGCAGACAAGGAGATGGGTCTCAGAGCAGTTAGGGACCTGCTCCATGTCACCCAGCAGAGAAGCCAGGTCTGTTGGACTCCAAACCCAGGCTTTTCTCACCCTTTGGCACAAAAGCATTCCAGAAATATCCCCAGTCTTTTATGTCCCTGGTTGCCAAGCAGTTTTAGGAAAGCGGCTCCATCTACAGACCCAACCCTTTCTCCTTTTCAGAGTGTGTGGGCCTCCTGGATCACCTGTGGGCCTGAGAGGGTGGGGCTCAGGGCCTAACAGAGAGAGCAGGAAGACCAGGTTCAAGTCCCTGCTCTGCCGTTTACAAGCTGTGTGACCCCGGGCCAGTTACTGCCCTTTGCCTTGGCCTGAGTTTCCTCATAAGCGAAATGATGAGAGTAGTCCCCTGCGGGAGGAACAGATGAATTCTTGGCCATGTGGGAGCTCTGTAAATTCCACAGTGAGACCTAGAGACTGCAGAGGCAGCAGCCCCCACTTGCAAATGAGGAAACTGAGGCACCAAGCAGGGAGGTAATTGATTGGAAGTTACACATGATCAGAGATCATACAGGAATAACCCAGAACCCAGGTTCCAAGGAGCCTTGGTGGGGATGGGTGAAATGTCAACTCTGCCAGGGCCAAAGCCCATGACTGGGCCTGGGCCTGGGGGTTCCGAGGACAGTGGCTTGGAGCACCAGCCCACCTCTGCCTGATGCTCAAACGGAAGTGGGGGCAGCTTTCCACCAGGCTCTGGCATCTTCTCCACTATATGGCAGACTGGTGGCAGGCCTGCCTGGCAAACTTACAGTCAGACCTCGCCCACTGGCTGAAGTCCTTGGGAAGGTTGCCGTTTCTCCCTTGGTCTCTTCCAATGTCAAATAGGGGGACCTGCTTCACATGTGGGAAGCAGCTGGCCCCTGTAGGTACTTTACCCACCTACACATACCTGATAATCAAAGGTCCCTGGCTGCTCCTGCAGGTCTTTAGGCATCCGAAGGTCCTCCAAGCTCTTGGCCTGGCCAAGAGGCTGCAGTGGGGCCTCCATGTCTAGGTTGCTGAAGATGTCTTCCAGGAGGTCGATGCTGGCAGCCCGGTCAGGTGGAGCTGGGGCAAGTCCCATGCGTTCCCGCGGTCGCTGCTCCGGACTCTCTGCCTCGTCACCTTCTGCACTGTCTGACTCCTTGAGTGTCTGGTATGGCTGCGGCCTGGGAGGAGACAGAGCAGGCTGGAGCTGCCCCCTGGAGCCTCCATGTGAGGAGCCAGCAGGCCCAAACTCCCGAGAACTTCAGCTTTTGAGGTGCATGCCCAGGAGACTTTAGGACAGGAGAGTGTCCTGGCCCCTTAAGTGCAGGACTCTGGGCTCTAAGGGTATGAGCTCTGCATTCAGACAGGCCTGGGGCTGAATTTGGGTTCTGTCGCTCACTGTGGGACCCTGAGCTAGTTGCTTTGGCTCTCACTTGCATTAAGGGGGCTCACTGTTATGTGCCAATGAGTTGATTCTGACTTACAGTGACCTTATATGACAGTGTGGAACTGACCCACAGGGTTTCCTAGGCTGTAATCTTTCTGGAACAGTGCCAGGTCTTTTCTCCCATGGAGCTGCTGGTGGGTTTGAAGCACCAACCTTATGGTTAGCAGCTGAGTACTTAACTGTAGCATGATCAGGGTTCCATGTGAGGGGGCCTGCTAAGTCCCTCTAAAACCACAACCCCTGCCATGTAACTAACTGGCTGGGGGGCTTGCAGAGCACTCAGACAAGGCGTATGCAATGGACCACGACTGGGAAGGGAACGCGCAGACACAAGACTTCCTGAGCCCACCACCTGCACCCCTACCCCGTACTAGTCAGTGGACGAGAAGCTGCATTCAGGCCCTATGAGTGGCTCATGGGGAACTGGGGAAGCTCTTCTGTGGGTAGCAGCCCAGCAAGTCCCAGGATCCTCAGAGAAAACTGTCTGGGCTTCAGCTTGTACCATGTTCCAGTCCTGGTCATGCCATCACTTGCTGTGGGAACTTAGGCAAGTCACTTAGCATCTCTGAGCCTCAGTTACAAAAGCAAATGCAGTGCCTGGAGCAGGCAAGCAGAAGCTGCTAACAGCACCAACAACCCACCAGTAAGTATGACTGTCACACGGGCTAGCTTTGTGCTGGCAGCATCAAAACTGTAGCCAAGCCCCAAGCAGGTAACAAACAACTCCTCTCATCCTCCTTCCCACAGGGCACCGCAGGCGCGTGAGGGAACCCTGGCCTCTGGTGGAGGCACCAGCCAAAGCAGCATCTCCTCTCCAAGCACTGACTGAAGCTGGCATTTGCTGGGGCCCCAAGGTCAGGCAGAGACCGTGCACCTCACTCTGGTAAAGTGGAGGAAGGGTGCCACCTGCTGGTTCCGAGCAGGCTCAGGCTGAAGGCCTACTTGGAGGGGACAACCAACAGTCCCAACTAGTGGCAGGGACTCCATCAAACTGAAGCAGTACAAGCAGCCCAGGAAGTAAAGCTCTTACGCCCACTTTATAGATGAGGAAACTGAAGCTCAGAGAGGCTAAACAACTCACCCTACATCGCACAGCATGTGGCAAGAGGTAGAAATGGAAGCCAAGTCTGAGAGACCCCAAAATCTCACATTCACTCAGACCAAGGCCATCTAACCAAGAACTTAAAAAACCCACTGCCGTTGAGTTGATTCTGACTCATAGCAACCCTGTGGGGGACAGAGGAGAATGAAATAACTTTTAATCAGGTCTGAGCACAATGAAGGGGATAAGGGAAAGGCAGTGGGCTTCTCAAGTCGAAGGAAGCAGTGTTCTTTTCAACGGATTATGCTTTAAGATGTGCCAGCTTTTTTTTTTAAACACAGGAAGGCCTATCCTGACCTCTGAGGTCATGGAGTAATGAAGTGAGCACTCTCCATTAAGTAATTAAGGCATTAATTAACAAAAAAAAAAAGGGCGTGATGGGGCTGAGCGCTGGACTTGACCTGCTGGCCTCAAGAGGTGAGAGGCCTTGGATGTCAATCAAGCAGGTTGCCTTTTCCTGCGAGGTGATTTTAAATGGATGAACATTTCTTATTCTAATGGTTCTATATTTTAATTAGTAATAGAAATAATAACTAGTACATTAGACCTACAATATCACACATAGTATTGCTCAGGACTAGACTAACTTTGAAGGCTTTTACAAAAATTTCAAGAGATTCAATTAGTGTACAGGAAGGGTGGCATGTCTGCTTGGGAGACACTGATTGGCCCCCACTTTCTAAGTGAGGACATCAGGAGGGGAGTGACGTGCCTGGGTCACAGGGGACTTGGTGGCAGGATAGGGCTAGGGTCCAGGCATCTAGTCCAGGACCTACTGCCCCTTGGGGATGGGACAGGAGGCAGAGAAGTCTGGGCTTTGTAAGGCACCAGGAGGAACCCACAGGCCCAGCCAGGCAAAGGGGTCATGACCTCAGGTGAAGCCTGACCCTAGGACTTCCACTGTGGTTTGGAAATGGAGAAGCTGGTGAGGGGCTGTAAAATGGCTGTAACAATGCACTTCCCAGAGGGTTGCTGTGGGCACTGTGGGCTTTCCTCTGAGGACAGTGCCCTTCCCTTACAGGCTCCCATTAAAAACGTTTGCATGACTTTGTTAACAAACAAAAATGACAAAAGCTGTCTCTATGCTCAATCCCAGTTCTGAAAAGCTTGTGGGTGGAGGGGCAAGAACTGGCAAAGAAAGAACTACAAAAGTTTAATTTGGGGGGATGGCTGGATTGTGGGGGAACCTTTTCTTTCTTCTCCTTGCTTTTTATTGCTATTGGTAATTAGCATGTGGTTTAGGATAAAAATAACAACTGTAAAAATTATCTCTAAGAAGCCAGGCAGCTCAGTAAAGCATTTGGGTGTGCTAACATGTAGGCACACATGCTATTAACAGGAAAGTTACTTTCTTTTATCTTAAAATCAGACCTGCCATCTCCATGGGCTTTCTAAGATGTGCTGAGAGGACGGGGGACTCTGGCAAAAGCAATCAGGGTAACTGTAGTGACCAACTCAATGAACAATTAAGTGCATTTTGAGGGGTGGGGACCCGTGCACCATTTCACATCACAGAACCCTGTCACTTCACTCCTCTGGGGAGCTGGCAGAATGGTGCCCCGAGAGTGCATGAAGGTAGCATTCACCCTGCAAGCTGGCACTCGGGCCCCCAGCAGGCAGCAGCTCAACACCCCTCCCCATACCAACAGCAAGCAGAACAGGCCACCCCCAGGGCTGCCATGGACAGTCACCAAGCCAAGCTCAAGGCAAGCGTCTCGTCGGGAAAATGGAAGAAGGAAGGAGAGACCATTCAAAGGGAGCGGAGAAGAAAAAGCTTTCGGTGAAGCCAGAGCTTGGGCCCTCTTGCCGCTGGCATTCATCATCAGAAGAGTCTTCAGAGAGGAAGACCGCGTAGTGTCGCAAGGGCTTTACCAGGCTGGGGCAGAGGAAGAGAAGAGAAGAGAACAGACAGTTAGGGGCACCATCAGGACTCTGCGGGGTGCGGTGGGGAGGACGACTTTGGAGGCCGGGCCCAGCCAACGCCCTTCCTGGGGCTAGGACTGATGCTGGGTTCAGCGCCTGTCCTGACCCTGCCCGCCTAGTGGACAGGATCCCCAGAGGAAGGCCAGAAGTCACCAGAGGCCTGGTGGGTCCCCAGGTGTGGGAGCTGGTCCCGGGTAAAAAAAGAAACTGTGAATTTGCCATATGGATCGAGAGCCTTAAACATATGATCTAATAATCTCTAACTGAGTTAACTCCACTTCCATTTACCTAGTCCTAAATGCAGCAAGAGTTAGACACACAGTTGTTCACCACTGCTCTGTAATAGGAAAAAATGGAAAGCAACCTATGTTTCCAGCAGTAGAAATCTGGTGAAATGAATTATGGTACAGTTGGATGAACATTATGCTCCCATCAAACTTAATATTTTTAAGGAATTTTTAAAAAATCAAGATGTAAATAACCAGAAGGCTGGCAGTTCAAACCCACCAGCCACTCCTCAGAGGGAAGGTTGGGCAATTTACTTCTGTAGTGATACTGCCTCGGAGACCCAAGGAGGGGTCGCTGTGAGTCGGGGCCGACTCAACGGCACAAAACAACAACAACAGCAGCATCCTCCTTCATTTAGTTACAAAAACATGCACAGAAAAAAGACTGGGAGGATGTGTCTAAATGTCAATGGCAGCCAGTGGGATTATGGGTGATTTTCTTCCTGCCTCTTAATACTTTTCTGTGTCTTCACATTGTCCACAATGAACATATCTCCTTCGATAATCAGGAAGAAAATAAAAAATAAAGAAGTTAAAGAAACAAGTGAGCCACGTGCAGGACTCTCGTGAGCAGGCCCTTTTTCTGATTAGTGGCTGCTCTCTGGAGTCTCCTTCAGATGCCTCTTCAGAGAGTCTTTTTCATCTGTGATGTGGAAATTAAATATTCATTGTTATAAAAAATACATCTCCCTTGTCAGCCACCTGTGAGCTCTATCTCTATAAACACAAACGCATACACAGCCCGGAGAAAGGCGCTGCCTGGCACCTATGAATTATACACGGGCCAGGGCCCGTGAGAGGCTGTGTGCTCAGGAGATGCGAACTGGATGGGGCAGACCGTGGTTCAAATCCCAGCTCCAAGGCTGCCTCGCCTGGCTTGTGTGCTGTGCAGGGAGTGGCATTCTGTGCCTCTGCCCTGGGTGATGGGGCTGTGGCTTGTCTGAGGACTCCTGGGGGGTTGGGGTGGAGTCTGGGGAGAGGGTAGGTAGGAGAGATAAGGGACTGAATGGAGCTGTCATCTTCCCCACTCCTGCTTTCCAACCCATGAAGTCTCCTTTGTGTGATGGAATTCCACTAAGATTTTATTTCAGGAAAGGGTAATGTGTCAAAGAAAAGTACATGAAAACATGGTGGGGGATAAAGAAGGAGCAACAACTGTCAGGGATAAACTGAGCCTGTATTTGGATGGGGCTTTGTCCTTATCCGTCATCACTGGTGCTAATCTAGTTGTTACCCAAGAACATGCTTTTTTACTAGACCAGATGCTGAACCCAAGCGCCGCAGCAGGCCAGAGCACTGTCACACCTGTGCCTTCGTTTCCTCACTGCGCTGGAGGTCAGCCAAGCAGAGTCCTGTCCTTGTACTTAAGTGGAGGCTGAGGCTCAGTGAGGGGAAGCCACTTGTCCAGGGTCCCACACCAGAATGTTGTGGGTTCAGTGTTCTATTCTTCTTCCAGCTGCCTTGCTGGGTGTTAGAGACGAAATACACCCGAGCCCTTCTTCGACCAGGAGAAGCATCTTCCTTCGGATTCAGCAGAGGCAGGAAGAAGAGCTGAGTCTGAGTGGTGCCCTGGCCAGCCTCTGAGCACGGCAGCCCAGCTCCTGCCACCTCCACTGCACCAGGATGGAAAACAAACCAGAGCTACAGGCTAGCCTCTCGGCTTCTCTGGGCCGCCCGCTGCACTTCACAGATACCATGCAATCCTGTTTTTGAGATGAGCTCCTCAAAAGCAGAGGCCTGGCTTCTCCTTACGCCTGCCTGGAGCACTGCAGTATCACAATGGAAGTTTGTTGACTGAACAAATGAACAATAAGGCAACACATGAACATGCTTCAGCCATTCCTGAAGCCCTCCACATCACGTCTCCCGTTGCCAGCTTGGGGCTGTGGCAGGAAAGTGTCTCCTCTCGGGATTCCACCATCTGTCCTCTGAGATGCCAAGACCCATAATATGGGACAATGTTTGGGGATGAGGGTGCCAAGTTTACAGGGGCAGGCGGGAGCCTTGGAAAAAATGTTTTAAATAATATCTACAAGTAGGGACTAGGCTAGGGAGCCTTGGTGGCACAACTGTTAAGTGCTTGGCTGCTAATGGAAAGGTTGGAGGTTTGAACCCACCCAGTGGCAATCTGTTTCCAGAAAGATGACAGCCTAGAAAACCCTCTGGGGCGTTTCTACCCTGTCACGTGGGGTCGCTGGGAGTCGGGATCGACTCCATGGCCCCCAGCAACTGCAGGCCCGGGATCAGGGGCTTTACCTCTGTTACGTCTACTCCTTGCACAAGATCAGCAGGAAGGTACTGCTGTACTGATTATTTATAGAGGATGAACTTTCTTTAGTCAATCCACCCATCTACCCGCGTGTCGTAGACTTTCCAAGTGCCTGTTGGGAGCAGGCCTAGTGCTAGCAGAGTATTGGGGATTCACTGGTGACCAAGAGAGAAGTGATGAAGGGATTCAGCCAGGAAGTGACTAGCAGGGATCCCAGCCCAGGGCTGACCACTACCAGAGCCCGTGTGCTCCCATCAGCTGGATTGGTGGAGGGCGCCCATGAGGGGGATGCTCCCGTTTGGGTCAAACTGAACAAGGCTCTGGGTAAGCACTTTTCTGACACCCGCCAAACTGGGCCCTCTCCCTTGGTTTTGACAGGAAGCACACGGCACAGGTTGGTGCATTAGGTGAACGCCACTAAACCTGCCAGGGATTTGTGACTTCAAGTGAGAGCACGGAGCTGGTCTGGGCCTTGGATGTCAGTTCAGGCTGCTGCAGTTCATGTCACTGTCAAAATCCAGTGCCTCCCCACACTGCAGTCATCAGGGAGGGGGCCGGGGTGTGGAGGCGGGGGAGGAGAGGGAGCCTCCATATCTAAGCTCACAAACTGTCTGGTCCTGCAGACGACTCTCCTGCCCAAGCTACTTGGGCAGAGGTTCGGGCAGGGGTCCAGGGTATCTTCTGAATACCTCACCTGTCTCTCGAGAGTGACAGGACATCCAGGTGAGACGTCTGCCCTGGGGTTTGACCAGATTCGTGTGTTTTCAGCTGCATGGATGATGATGGATGAGCAGTACTTCCAGGCTGGGCAAAATGCTGGCCACAGTTTCTTGTTAATTCTTCACCATATCTCCATTTTCCAAATGAAGAATCCAAGGCTCAGAGAGAGGGAGTCACTTGCTCAGGGCCACACAGCAGCTAAAGTAGAGCCTGGGATTGAATATGGATTGGCCTGACTCTGAACCACTACTCGGTCCTGACTGTCCCATTTCACAGATCTGAAACAGTAAACTGAGAGGCAGGGTATTTCCCCTCTACTCTTAATAAAAGGTGAGATTTCAAAATAAACTTATTTAAATTCAACTGTTTATGTTCTTTCATGAAACGTACAGTCAGATATTTGTCAGAGATAAGGGATAAACCATTGAAAACATCCAGGTTTAAGTTTTTTTGTTAGCTTAAGGCAGAATATATACATATAAATATATAAAAAGTGTACCTCTTGCCTCATTAACCCAATTCAGCTACTACCCTGCAGCCTGCCACCTACCACTTGCCTGGGTTTTATCGAACACAAAGAGCTGTCTGTGAAAAGGCAGGTCATGGCAAACTTGGCTTCCCAGCAAGGGCTGCTGGAGTCTCGGTGAGAAAGAAAGACCTGCTATCCGTCACTCTTCAGAGCCCCGTCATCTACCCATGGCAGCGCCCGCCTCTGCCCACCTCATCCTGCACCGAGTTACCATGCAGATGACTTCCCGAACCCTTTCTAATGTTTGGTTTAACGTGTCGCCGGTTAGCGCGCGTGTGACAGTGGTGACAGGCGCGGCTGTTCCTTTTTAAATACCATGTCAGAGACACGGCGTCGGGAAGTGAGGACGTGCTCTGTGGCTCTCTGCCGCACTGGGTATCGCAGGGGCTTATTTTTTAATGAGGAAGATCTGCATCTTGAGAGTTTTTTTCATGTGTCACATCGCGTGGACAAATCAGCAGCACATCACGCTGGCCCAAAATGAAATGCTGACAAATGTAGATATTTCAAATTTAATTGACATTTAAATGTACTTGAGATAAAGAAGGAAAAAAAATCAGCAAGGACTTGGTCTCCGGAGGTAATGAAGGGGAGCTGGTCACCATTTTTAAATGACTCATCTCAGTCCAGCACAAAGGATCTTTACTTTGTAAATGTCCTGGCTACTTGGGCATCCCTTGGCAACATGGTTCCTGTGGGGCCGATGAGCAGGGACAGACCCAAGGTGAGGCCAGGTCCTGCCTGCCTAGTGCAGGTGGGTCTGTCCAGCCTTCCACCATCCTCTACCTCCTTGCCAGGTGGCTTTGGTGAAGTCACTTTACCACCCTGAGCCTCAAATTTCTTTATCTGTAAAATGGGGATTCTACAACTTTCCTGATAGTCTTAAAAGAGTTAAATCAAAATATCTGTCAAATGCCTTCATGGTGGCTGGCACATAGTGAATGTATTTAATATTTTCCACTTGTCATGCTCCTCTGTCAACAGATTCTGAGCAATTTCATCCTGTGCCAGGTCTTCACCGGGTGTTCAAGGATGAACATGACAGTCCCTGCCTTCAAGGCTACAGAGTGGCCCTCAGCTGGGCGTATCATAAACCAGTTGCTGTTGGGTTGATTCAGACTCATGGCGACCCCATGGGGTCGGAGTAG